GTGTGCCCTGGTGAAAGCTTGGCAACCGCTGCCCTTTTTGTGCCCTTAGGGTGTTTGGGAAGCCAAAGCCGGGGCAGGAGGCTTCACAATTTTGAGAAAAACCGTTTCATTCGGAGAAGCCCCTGCTGGCAAGAGGAAACCTGCCAACGCGCTGGTTGCAGTAGCTGGCCTGTTTGGATATGTTTTGCAACCGGGATACAGTAGTTGTTCTTGAACAGGTTTGCTTGGAGAGCCCCGGCTCCTTGAGAGGTACTAGTCTAGTGTGAGAGTACATGGTTCTGGGCAGACTCTTTTAGTCTCGAGTTTTGTCATCCAGCCGGTTCTCCATTGGTTCGCAGCGCTTGAACCGGCCGATCGGGAATCAAAGGCGGGTGTTTTGGCATTACATATGGGTATGTGTCAAAAAAGGGATTTGGCCCCCCCAGGCGAAATTGGCGGACTTGCTTTTTGGTGCCCCTTTGAACCAACCGGAAAAAGGGTACCCCATTTGGGTGGTTCCCCAAAAAGGCCCCTTCCAAAATAGCCTCGAGAGCCCGAGGCTTTGCAGATGCGGCGGAGTTCGGCATCCGGAACTGCAAGGCGAACTTATGACATGTCTTTTGTTTGCCCGAGCTATCAGGCCTGAGCTGGTGGGTCAATGTTCTTTCTTGTTTAGCTACCAACATCCAGACCAGAGCAAACCATGAAGGGGCCTGTCTGTGGAGCTTACGCTGAGCGTTATGCGTAACCCGAGCAGGGAGACATCGATTGGCCCAGCTATGGCAAAACATCGGGGTTAATTGGGAAGAGACAAGGAAAAACCCGAATCTTCACATGTTCATTTGCATGAACCGCATATTCTGACTACTCATTTAGGGAGAATCGATTTGGCAATAGGGTTCGTTTGAGCTGCGGGCAATGCTTTTGGCGAGGAGCCAGGGGGGGGACTTCGCAAATGGGGGGGGTCATGTTTAAGGCTGTCGTTTTTGATGAAAACCCACTTTGCTCCTAAAATTGCCGACACACTCCCAAACGCGTTCGGCTATTGGCCATGTTAGTAGGTTCCACCTGGTTTAATGGTTGTAGATTCTTATGAACCTTTGTAACCATCTTAGTCGAACCAAAGGTCCATGGTCTCGGCGTTGCTCACACTTCCATGCCCACGGATCTCTCTCACCTCGCTCGCGTTCGAAACTTCGGAGCTTTTTCGGGCGCCAGTCCTCCTGCTATTCGCCGGGGGGGAGCTGCGAGAAGTGCATGCTGCCCCACGCCCCGGTCTGCGTCTGGGGAGATGGGGAGATTTCGTCGACCTGGACGCATTTTTTCCCGACGGCCATGTTTTTTTCGGTTGCCCATAAATGAAGCCAAGGCTCGGGGTGTCAAAAAGCAGGATCCCCAGGTTCGCGAAGCTGGGGAGAACTTGTTTCGCCTTGGGGGATCAATGTTTTGGTTTCCTTCCTGCTTGGGTTTCCGCAAAAGGTGGGCAGGGTCGATGTTGCCGGAAACGACCTCACGTGAGCAAGCGGGATACCAACGCACCGGCACGCAAGTCTATGTCGAAGGCTGAGTCAGGTGTTTTTTTCGGGCAACATGGCATTTCAGCCGGAGGGCATTTTGAGCTCACTTTCGTGCTGAGTTTCATGGTCAGCGAGTTGTGCAACTCTTGCCCTCTTTTCTCTCAACCACGCACAACGCAGTTCTTGTCTCCGGAGCCAATGTTGCAAATGAGAGCAACATCTTTCGCAGTGCGCTGGGTAGAGCAAGCCCTGCGAGGCGTCCCATCAAGAATTCTCTTTCTCCCTCGAGCAGGTAACACGGTCCTCTTGAAGTTTTGGGTTTAAACTTGTTAAGAACCAGGGGTTGAGGTTGCTTCAAGCAACAACTTGAGGACTATACAAAGTTGTGATCTTTCTGGAAGATCCCCTCGGCCCGCAACAAACGGCGGTCCGACACCTCCTGAGACCATCGTCCCTCGCAGGCGCACAAGCTGTGCATGGGCTTCCTGCTGCCGGGCTATGGGATCCCCTTTGATTGCCCCTTGTGGCTTGGATGGTTCCTGGCAGTAGTTTGGGAGTTTGGGAGTTTGGAGGGGGGAGAAGACGAGACCTGGACCTACAAGAATTGGCCGAACTGTGTTGGCCGTCTTTTTGTCAAGTCCTCTTGGCTCACCCACTGGAGGACAGTGGCCTAGGTTGAGTCGATAGAATTAAGGGAAAGGTTGAAACGTCTGAAACCATCCTGCAACCAGAGCCGAAGATCAACAGTCACACAAGAATAGGACTACCCGGCCGATGCGTCACATCGAAGGCATCCCCCTGACTATTTGAAGCCCGGGGTTCTACCTATGGCAGAAAAAACTTTGTTCTGGGGGTTTCCATCAACTTTGAAACCAGGGGAATGTGTCAACCTGTATATATGTATATTGTACATGTGCTCCGAGGTGGCAGTGAGCAAAGCAACTGGTCATTTCGGAGCCAATGCTCGAAGGGTTTAGAGGAGGAACACATGTATGGTCGGTTGTGAAAGCAGCAGACCATACTTTTCGTGTTGCCAACGATGACTGTTAGCTGTCCGTTGGTTTCCTCAAGTCCACCCGTCCAGATGGATCGCCCCGTTCGTTCGGGCAATGAACATGTTGGGGGGAGATGAAAGGTAAGAAAACAAGGGGAACCAAAGCACCCAGGCTGCGACGGGTTCGCCTTTCGATTTTTCTCGTTAGGAAAGGAAAGGGACTCCAAAGAGGGCATCCACGCTTGGGCTAAAGGCAACCAGGTTCCAAAGACAATGCGCCCCGACCAGCTTTCTGAGGAGCGAAGCAAGGATGCAGCAAGAGGGTCCTTGATTGGGGGCCATTCTTGCGAACGACTGCAACAATTCTGTGAAGATTGCAAAATGAACTAGCCTTACGTGTGGAAAAGATATAGGAGCAATATGTGAGGGAAATCCACCGTACCCTGGTTCGTCTCTGAGAGTACGCCCCTGGTTCCAGCCCTGGATGCAGGCAGAGTTGAGAGCTGGCCGCGTTCATGTGCAGATGCTTTAGCGCGCGTTCGTGCGCTTTCGCACGCCGAATCGTCGAAGAGAGGGCGGGTGCTCCGGCCAACGTAATTGCCTGGGAAAACACATTATTTGGGGATCCCGAAAAAAAAGAAGGAAAGAAAACATTCGCTGAAGCGAAGAGTGCTTTGCTTTGAAGCAGGTTGCCATTTGTGGCATCCGCCCAGAGAGCTGTGTACGAGTGGATCCCGCTGGGACCAAAATACATCTCGCGTATGTACCCTTGATTCATATTTGTGCAATGGAAGAGTCGTGCGCATTGTGTTGGCTGTCTTTTTTGCTAGGGGCAACTTCCCCGTCTTTCCCTGAATCCTTTTTCCAGAAAGCCACCCAAACCCACTGCCACCCCGTAGAATTTTAGGCAATATCGATCCAGAGTTGAACGCCAACCAACACCCCCTTTCTGAGCGGCAGGCTTGTTTTTGTCTCTCTTTCCAACCAATCAAGGGGGGGTTGCTCATTTCGGGAAGCACCCAATCCCAGGTGTCCCGATTTCTTTCGGAAGTTCGCTTCCCTCCCGGAGCCATTTTCTTAAAACCCGCCTGGCGGTGCGCTGCTGGCGGGTTGTGCAGTGGTTTTGCCACGAGATGCAACTAAAATCGTTGATTCCATTCAGCTTTGGAACAGACTCCGTTCCTACAGCGTTTTGATTGTGACTCGAATACCCATGACATGCCTGATTTCTGGACAACGTCAGTTCGACCTCACAAAGGGTGAATGTTCGCGATGAATTCCGCTCATGAAGGTCCCCTGGAATTCCGTATTTCAGGCATGTGAGCCAACTTCCTGTAGACTGTGCAGGTAGCTGGTTGCTTGGCTTTCGCGAGCCATCGAGAGCCATTTCCGAGAAAAGAGGTGGCCAGCTTTGGCGAAACAAGGTCTTTCTTCTTGTTTGGGTCCACTACCGCCTTCAAAACCCCTTTTGTAGAATGTAAGTGAAGTGGGGGTGGCTTTTCCATTGTGACTCGTATGCTGGTCACATTGGGATGTGTCCAAGTGCTTGGTTTCCCATGGTTTTCCAACACCATTCTTAAAGGGGACAAACTTCATGTCAGTCTTCCTACCCGGTCTTGGGTGGACACAGACCCAGCTTTGGATTGCCAAATGAAACTGATTCCCCAAATGTGGGAGGGGGGGGGTCTTGATGGGAACCCATGATTAGTAAACTCTGGTTTGACAGGGAGGAGCTTTTATTTCAGAGGGGATTCTCCCCTTTTTTGGGGGGAACAGCCCCCATCGATCCAGGTTGTTGAATCCGGGGTTGACATCCATTGTGTGTGTGTGTGTGTGTCTTTTTTAGGGACCATTTTTTGAGGGTAAAGGAAGACCAACATGTCTTGGCGTCCCCCTTTGACAGATATGACTATGAATTTTAATAGGGACCCGGCTCAAAACTGGTTGGTGGACACAACCCCCCAGCTCAATGAGATGTCCATTTCGGGTCCTTCACTAAGATTAGGGCCTTTTGGGGCTCCCTCCGCCCTCCCCTCCCTCCCCTCCCTCCCCCCCAGCCCCCATGAACACCCAAATCTGAGTGGTTGGTGGTCGGTCCCTTGAGCTCCGATCCAAACCTCCCGGAGCCGAGGTTCTGCACCTGCTCCACGGACAGGACGCTTCGACTGCCGCGCACCTGGAGTTCCAACCCGCAACCACGGTTTGTGCCGGTGTTCCAAGGGCGAACATGGGCATGTTCTCTGGTTTTCGGCTGGAAGCACTTCCCGAGTTTCTGGACCTGCTACTTGTTGGGAGCCATTTTTAGTGGTGAGCGAAGACTTGGAACCACTCCGGAAATTAGCTTTATAACATGGGACTTACCCCGGGGATTGGTTTGAAGCGATAGAAGTCGACATAAAGGAATCTTCAGAAGGCTCGGCTCACCTAGCTTGTGCTGTTCTTGCCACAGGCTTGGGTCGGGGCAGGCCGAAGAATGTGCCTATGAAGTCTTCAGCTTCACTCACAGCCCCCAACCAAAGTCTTTGAAGTCTGTGTGCTCACAACCGGCGGGAGAGTTGTGAGTCGTAATGTTGTCTAGCATTGATGAACGCATAGGTAAGGCTTGTCAGCCTTTGAAGTGGCCTCCACTTATGTCAACTTCAAATTATCAGCAGTTTTCTTCATGTCAATCGTTTGCCCGGATGCCCCATCTTCGACATGGAAGCTATCTCGCCTGCGACTCTTGGTGAGTGTTCTCGGCGGGGTGATGTTTAAGGTGAAAAGTTTCGAAACCCTCCTGCGACAGCACTAGGAAGAAACGCAGTTGTTGTTCATATCCAGTGGAGGAGCCAAAAAGGAAGCCTGCTCGCTTTGATTTCAGGAAGAAGCCAAGAAGAGGTTAAGCATTTGAACAGTTGGAGGGGTCAACATGTTTGGAACACATGCATATATATATATATATATATATATGTCCGGAACTAAGTTTGGGTATGGAAAGATTCATGCAACAGACTGCAACCATATCAGGCCTGCAGACTCTTGGAAGCCTTGGCACAATGGGACGTGAGCTTGTGCTCCGTTGGAACGGCTTGATCCAAAATTCCGCGTGGCGTTCTCCTTGAAGGATTTGTTTGTGAAAACTGGGCGACCTTCCACACGGCTGGTGTCATTGCGCCGTTGCCCTTTTCGCTATTGAATCACCAAGCTGATGGAAGCTATACGTGCCATGGCCAAAACACCCATTTACTTTGGGGACCCTTCATGAACAGCTGCCTAAGAGGAACACCCGTTTTTATTGACGGGTGTTTCTCCCCGACTCGCCCCTTCTCTGAGGTTCAATGGGCTCTCGGGGGAGTGCCTGCGAACGCTGCAGGCGGGACGGGAACGGGGTTCTTCCCCTGCTGTCAGGGCCTGCATCATTCGAACGTTGCAGTGGGGTACATGGATATGGGCATGGGCCAAAATTAAACCAGCAGGTGACCACAGGTTTTAGTCATTGTTTCCATTTACTTGGGTGCCATTTTGGGGTTATCCTCTTTTTGACAACCACAGCCGTATGTTTCTGGCAGTTGGCTCCTTCCATTTGCACTTGCGACTCCAAGGCGCCCGGTTCTTAAATCCGAGGCCGGCTTTGAGCAGCTGAAGATGTCAAGGTGCCGTTGCTTCAAGTATCAGTTTTGGATCATGCAACCCTAAGAGGGCGCAACCCTGGCCCTCTTTGAGACATACTGGCACCTTGGGTTGTTTCCCTGAGGGCTACTCAGGGGCACAACCAATGTTGATGTACAAGTTTTATGTTCCTCTCGTCTTTAAATGGCTGCATGCTCCCTGGTTGGGAAGACTGTATAGGTGGGATGGGGACTCAGCATGTTCAACCCCTGCGAGGTGAGGGCGGTTTCAGCGAATCTCGTTGGTACAACCAGAGCCCCGGCATTTTTGTTGAGTTTCACTCCAAGAGGAGGCTGTCCAAGCAGCGACAGCAACGTGTTCAAGCCGGGGGGCCACTCAGTTCCACCTCACCAAACTTGCCACCTGACAAATGGCTGTGGCCCAAAACCGGTACCAAAATGGAACTCTGGTAAGTGTAAACATGGACCAAAACCTGCGTAACCCCTCCTGTTCAATTTTGAGCCACGCCCAAATGGGGGCTGCAGTGCCATGTCAGTGTGTGCGACCTGTTACGTGAGCTTGGGCCTTCTCCAGGGACACTCGGAGACGGTGCTGGGTCTCGACCTCTCCATTGGTGAGGCGCTGGAAGACAAGGAATCATGTGACCCCGGATTGATCAACCGGTTCCTTTCGATAGGGGTGCTTCCCCTAAAGTGATGACTCCCCACTAGAAGGGGGACGCCTTCCGAAAAACTCAACCAGGGCTTTATTCATCCGGGGTTCCCGTCACCAAACTGAAGACAAGGAGCAAATGGAAGGTCAATCTACGTTTTCTGGGCTCACCGAGGATGAGCGTGTTTTCCTGGCCGCACTCATATTACGGAACAGCACTAGAGGGCGGGTCATGACTTGGCAGTAGAGTCGAGGAAACGTCCATCGCCTTGGGTGCTTGGAGAGATACCATCCATGGCAATCGGATCCCAGGAGTATGAACTGGCTGATTCCATAGGGCGTGTCCCATTGAAAGCGGAAATCCGGAGCGAATTGTTCATGTCATTCTCACTTTTGGGGTGGTGGTTTCCCTTTTCTTGCTGGTGCTCAGTAGGGAATGACCCAGGGCTTGGGGGTGAACCTAGGGATGCAGATTCCCTTAAAGGAAACCACAAGGGGTGGTTTGCGGGGTTGGTTCCCTCATTCCCTGCTGAGACCCAGCAAGTTTGCCCCGCCATTCGCGGGTCATTTTGAGGATTTTGCCAGTCCAGTGAGCTCACTGGGCCAGACCGACGGCAAGCCCCAGCTGGTGGTCGCGTCAGCTTCGGAGGACAAGAGCTGCCGGGTCTTCGTGGTGGCGTGGCCTGCCCGCACTGGGATCCTTTTGGTTTTTGGGGGCAAGAAGGGACCCAGCTGTTGGCTTTTGGCAGTTCTGGGGTCAACATAGCAAAGCTGTTTTACTGATTTTCCTGGAGCGAGATGCTGCGATCTTGATCTCACCAACCGCCCAACTCAAACCCACACCCAAACTCACACCCAACCCAGCAACCCACAAACCAACCGACCGACAGACTGACCGACCGACCGGCCAGCCAACTATCCACGTTACAACTCACCAATTTGGCAAGTAGCTCGCGGAACTCAGCAACCAACTCACTAAAGCACAACTCATCTAGCAAACCAAGCCCAGGAAACACCACGGCTGTGTTAGATCCAACAAAGGGAAGTTTCTAGCCCAACCCGACCCAACTGACAACACGACCCCAGCCAGACCAGTCTCCCTACGTGTCCTTTTTGGGCGGGTTGAAAAATAGAGGGCGATTCCTGGTTGACCTGGTTCAATCATCTACCAGGGCCGTCAGGCAAACCTCCAAGATGTTGAACCACCAGGTAAATCCAGTAGGCGTTTACTGGTTGAACCAGGTGTTCAGTTCATAGGTGTCCTGGTGACTTGTCGCCGTCGCATAGGCTCTGGACCGCCGGCGTGGAGGTATCGCCCGGCGGTGTGTGGGGGGCGCCCAGAGTTGGCAGGGGGAGGTATGCGACGGGATACCGATAAATGGCCCAAGTAAGGACGGGGTTGTGGGGTACTTTCAATAGCCTAAGTCCCCGCCCCCCCCGCCCAAAAGGCAACAGTTTCACCTTTTGTTTTTCCTGACGATGTGCTGCAACGGGGGTCTGAGCCTGGTTACACCCATGGCGTGTTTTCTACGAAGCACGAGCCCACTGTTGTAAGGTGGCTCCCCCAAAAGTTAAGGTTGCCTTGAAACTTGAACCTGACATAAGCCGTGGGCCCTTGTCCTCTTTTGGCGGTTTCTTTCAAGCAAGTATTGAACCCGGGGCTACCAATTCTGGTGGGCGTCGCTTAAAAGATTTCGGTCCTGTCTTGTCGACCCTCGCTGCCTGGCTCATAGGCCTTTTGACCAAGAGGTAAAGAGGGTCAAAGACAGTAGCCGGGTTTGAAGTGAAGCTACCTGCGAGAGTCAGCGTGACGTGCTCTGAGCCACACTGAAGACAGACAACAATGTTAGCAACCCGGCCTTGTAGATTGAGCTTCCCCATGTCGCTGACTTCTGCGATTGCAAGTGTGTGGGACAGCCTGCCACCAGTTAAATGGTGGAAGCAGATAAGTGAAGAGAAGCAAGCAAAGGTAGCATTTATCATGGACTTGCTTCTCACCGCTTTCCTCAACATTGCAGACTTCGCTTCAGACTGGTTCGTGACGCTCGAGTACGGCTGCATCCTGACTACTTCCAGCGAATACGGCTCTGCTTGTGTCAGCCACCCGTGGTGGTTTGGTATCAGCCTGGCCTTGCTCCTCATTACCTACCTGCTGCAAAGCCTGATGTGGATGCGGTGGTGCATCTGCCTTCTATGATGCATTTCCAAGATGCTGCGAGTTAGATGGTTGGTCAGACTGGTGCTGGGGCTTCGTCGGCTGCTGGGTGGCCCTGGTGGCACCCTTTTTGCAGCTCCACTACTTGGTTGACGTGGCCGTGGCCGTTCGCCTCGGGCCCCCAACCCTAGGAGAGGACGATGACACACGTTTTCATCTCCTTATCTATAGAGATATGGCCACGAAGGTGCTCGAGTCTGCTCCACAGCTTTACCTTCAGAGCTATGTGCTCTACGCGGCGGGCAGCCATGGGGATCCCATCAAGATCGCCTCGATCGGGATCTCCATACGCAAAAAAAAGAGTTACACATCCGCAACCAGGATGCTGTTCCGACGACTCCGCTTTCGCTTCACCTTCACTTCCTTCACCTTCGCCTGGTCCTTGGCCACGCTTTTGCTTCACCTTCACTTTCTTCCTCTTCTTCTTGGCACTTGGGGTCTGATCTTGTCCCGTGGCTTCGAGCACGTCACTTCCGGGCTATTCCAAAACGGACGCCTCACTCTGGTTCACGTGAGGCCTGGCTTCGGCTGAGGAGAGACATCCACATCTTAGATCCCAGCGAAACTCGCCTGTGCGTGGGTCAAAGCCCAGTACCATCACTCCACAGAGACAAAAGTTGAAAAACCACATGGTCAGCATCAAGACCTCGCGCGTTGGTGCGACATCTGCCAGGTAGGCTAGGAGAGCCGCAGCCAGGACCTCCACAAAGCGCGGCATCAAACTTCGTCGATCAGCGACTCGTAGATTCTCGTCAACGTAGCTTCCAGAAAGCGCCCAAAGCGGTACCAAGTACCGCACGAAGAAACACGAGAACAGCTCACAAATGTCCAGCCCCGGCATTCTCTTGCTTATGGCAAGCGTAGCTACCGCAGACAGCCCGACCAGGCCGAGGCCGTAAAGTCGCAGATCGGACGAGAGAAGCAGCGCTAGGCTCGAGGACTTGACGGCTTGGTCCGTGCTGAGACAACAAGGTCACCAACCGGAACAGTGGCTTCTGCAAGGGAATCGGACAGTCTGCCATGTCTGCCGCGGCTAGACTGTCTCTTCTCAGTTTTGCGTTGAAACGCATTTCCATTCGGATTTTGACTTCCGCGCGAGCCTTGCCAGGACTTTAGCATAGACCCTTACAAGCAGCTGTCATTCATGATATGTTTTTTTCTTCTCTGACAGGACAACTAGGCAAGTTTTGGTGTAGAGCGCAGATCCCCCACGTAGATTGTGCCACATCTATGATCCTCCAGGTTTACCGTCGTGATCGGCGCCATGGAGACCAACTAGTGGCGATGGATGGTTTGTTTCACTTGGGACGAGGTGAGTTGTGTGAAGCTGTCAGCTTCATGCGTTTTGGGTGCCGTGCCCAATGTGCAGGTACCTGGTTGGATCAATCCAATTCTCACTCACATGGGTTCCATGCTCTCAAAAGAGGCCTTGAAATGAGCCTGGCAGGGCGCCGATCTCCAAGCGTTTGGCTGGGCACTTTTTAGCCAAAGGCCCGCCTGAAATGGGTTCCTTTGCATAGCAGGCTTGGAGGAAAGCAACGGCTTCAGAATCACTCACACAAAACCCCAACGGGCCCCCCTTTCTTTTTGAACACCAATTCAAGTCGGCGGGGGAGTGTGGCTTTCCCTATTTCGATTCTTTTCTTGGGGCCCACGCAAAATAGCACCGTACCCCCCCAAAGGCCAAAGGGTGTCACCCAATGCGGTCGCAGCCCGGTTTTTCCGAGGACCCCGGCAAGCGGCTACGGCCACTTCCTGCCCGCGCTTGGAGCCTCGGAGCTCATGGCTTTGGTCCGGCCAGACCCCGGTGCCTGGGTCCGATCCTTTTTGGAGTCCCTTTAGATTATACTCGATATCTCCATGGCTGAGGTTTGTGGTTCCCCGTCAAAGGAGGGTTCCCTATACGTGCACCACTACTAAAAACGAGGTTGTGGCGCCCTCAAAATGGGACGGCCCTCTAAAATGGGGAGAGCTTTTGTGGTTTCTTTTTCATCCAACATGAGGTTAGGAAACACCCGAGTTGCTGGCAGTCGATTGTTCGTTTTGGGACATGGGAGCAACCACCCAAAGTTCCCACGCAAACCATGGCGCGAAGGACGAAGGCGACGCCGGAAATAGGGCCATGAATTGGTGGGCATACATCCCCATGTAAATGATGCCCACAAATAATCCTTAATCAAGATTTATTCCCATACTGTCCGTTTGAGGCATGTAAGTGAGACCTTAGCCAAAAAGGATTTCGCAGAATCCCAGTTCATGAGAGAAAGACAAGGCAAGCCATACAACATAGTGATGTAGTCATGCTTGGATGGGAATGGAATCAACCACTTTGGTCGGCCGGGTTCCGCCACAATGATGAACAATCAAAATGGAACCTGACAATAAACAACTAGTTCTCAACATATCAAGAAGTATGGTCTCAGTCGTCTTTGCTGCAAGTGTCGCGTTCTCACTCCGGCCTGGCATTGCTTTTTCGACGCGAGAAAGGCAAGCAACTGCACCAAACGTGTTGGTTTTTTGCGACCGTGCCCATGTCAGAAATCTTTCTTGGTGGCCTGCTATTTCAGGAGAGGACCATCTATGGTTGCTGCACTCAAAAGGAGACCCTCATATACAGCTGTGTGCCTAGCTATCATACTTATTAGTTCAGTTGGACTCCCTACTTACCTTTGGGGTGATGAGACCCAGGTTCATAGCTGGTTTCTTTATTGTTTCCCTTTTCTTCTCCTTTTAGAACAGTTTCCTGAAAGCTTCAATTTGGAGTGATATTTCTGGGGGGTCCAGGTCAATCTGCAGGAGGAGCGTGCCTGTGCTTGGAGAAAGGGAAACTAAATGAAAGCTAACCTGGAACCACTTCCTACCATACCAAGAGCTTCCCCTGAAGCAGTTCTGGGGATTTATTTTATTTTATTTTTTTGAAAGACATGTTTGCCACAAGGTTCCTCTGGGTTTTCTTCTCGCTTTCTCGTGGTTTCCTTCGTTTGCCGTGCACGGGTTGCCTAGGGATCTCTCGGTTGCCGCCGTTTTCCTTGGATCTGAGGTCCTCCACACTGCCCTCGCCCGCGCTGCAGGTGAGGGTCACAGGGCATGCCCCAATGGGTGGTGGATCTGGATTCGAACACTGCTGGTTCTTGAGGGTAAATGGGAGACAAACGCGCCTGGAACACCTACCCACCAGGCTCCACATCGTCAAGAGAGTCGGGGGGAAAAAGAAAGAAAGAAAAAAACCGTTGCATGTGTCAATGTAAGGCATGATCCCAGGTCTTTTGGACCTATCAAATTAGCTGTACCGCCGCTTGTAATTTGAATGGCAGGAGTGTGTTGCAGGAGCGGCCGCGCAAGTCAAACATGGGGCCGTGCAAGTAAAGCGCAAGTGAAGCGCAAGTGACGCAGTGATGATTCATCATCATCATCATCATCATCATCATCATCATCATCATCATCATCATCATCATCATCATCATCATCATCATCATCATCCGCATGGTCGAAAGAATCCGGAAGATTGCTAAATTTTCGCGCAAGTCGCGCGCAAGTCGCGCGCAAGTCGTAGATGCCTTGGATCAGGAGTGGCCCATTTCTGTAGTTTGCATTTTCTTTGTTTCTGCAAATCCCAGCAATGAGTTGCAGCAGCCAGCAGCAGCAGCAGCAGCAGCAGCAGCCAGCAGCAGCAGCCGCAGCAGCAGCCAGCAGCCAGCAACAATTTGCAGCGGTGTACACACCTGAGACCTCATACACTTAAGGGGCATGTTTTTTGGGGACCTCACTCTTATGAAGACCGCCGCTTGGATTTGCAATGAAAACATCCTGGGATAAGAGTTTTAATACGTTTTTTTTTCCAGCTCAAGAGGGAAGCCGATTACATCATCAAAGCGAGTCCTGGTATTTCCCCGGTTTCGCCTGTTTCGCCGGATGCCTTTTGGGGTCTAAATCCAGTCCGTTTCGAGTTGGGGGTTGATCAATCTTCCCTTGTGCCCCCAAATGACAATGGGTAACCTTTCCCATGTGGAAACCCGGTGGGTAACCTTTCAGTGGGCTTTTCCCCCAAAAGGTCATCCCACGTATCACGGACCTCCCGGGTTCCTTTCCTTCGAGGCGACGGGCTCCTTGGAAGCGCCGCTGGAGACGGCTGCCGGAACGGCCGTGCCGGCCGGCTTTCTGCCGAGCTGCTTTTGCGAGACGCATGGCACATCTGGGCACATGCACATGGAGTTGGTGCTAGGGATCCTTTTTGGAGGGTAATATATTTTTTTGAGCTTGGGAGAAATCAGAAGGGAAAAAAAAGGGGGGCTACCTTATATATCATCTTTTTGGGGGAAACCGATTTTGAGATAGAAACCCAAATTGGGACCTGCGCTCTTTTTTACCCCGCAGAAGGCCTTCGCATTCATCCCGCCAAAAGTGTCCATCGGAGGGACACCCTCCATTTGTAGAGGGCCAGAGTTAGTAGAAACCGAAATGTGTAGAAACCCTCTTCAATGTTTTTCAAGACGTGTCTTGAGAGCTGGGGTCAAAAGGCGGTGTTTGTTTTTGAGGTATCCCTCACGCCAGGCGACGCCCCAGGCGAGCCCCGGGAACCCGCCGGAGCCCCAGCGCAGGGTTCTATGGGTCTTTGGCAGTCTTTTTGGTTGGCTTCCGTTTCGGGCTTCCGTTTTGGGCTCGTTTTGGTTTGCTGTCGGTTGGGTCTTCTTTGGGTTGAGGTTACGCCATCACTTTGAAGGGGATTTCAATGAGAAATCACAGAAAGTGGCCACTTACCCAGCTTTCCGCCCAAAAAGAGCGACACAAATCAAGCCATGGTTGGCTGAGGCCTGGCAGAACAGAAAGGGTCGCCATTTGCCGCATGTGTCAGCCATTTGCTAGCCGGGTTGTTCGTGTTTTGAGGCCAGCAACCGGGGTTGAACCGGGGGAAATACATCCCCCAAAAATGGAGCTGGGAATCGCCTGCGAGGCTGTCCCCTGCGGCTTGCCGGGCACCTGGATGCATCACTGGACGGCGCGCGCGCGCGTGTGGGAAGCAGCCCCCAAACGGCCCTGCGGAGACAGCGGACAAGCGGGAAAAACGGTTTGTGAAGTTTGGATTGTCCCAGAAGGCATCAGATGCCCAGGCCGCTCACAATTTCAAGCTTCCCCATGATTTCTGAATGCCTGTCATTTCAAACTCAAGTTCGGGCCCCATCCATCCAATTTTATCCCGATATCCATTGGATTCCATCTTAAACAGCTCTAGAAGGGGTTCCCTCAAACAACACCACAGTGAACAATGGCACAGGCTACGGAACGTCCTGGCTCCATTTTAGAGATTTGTAGGTATCCTTCCTTGCGCCTCATTTCTGTAATTGCAAATTGTTTTGCTATTCCTGTTGAACAATGGTTTCCCAAATGCGTCAATTCCATGCTTTTGGTTCCCCAAAGAACCAGGGGTACTCACTCAGGGCAATTGCCATCGTCCCTCGCTCCGTCCGAGGTGTGTCGCCTTCGAACGTGCCAGTGTGAAGCGTGCTCGCTCGGAGCGGCCCTTCAGGCATACTTCAACGGAATCCGAAGAACTCATGGAGCCTCCAGATGAACCTAGAACCCAAACCGCCATCGTTGTTACGGAGGAATCGCTTTCTGGGAAACGGATCCTCCATCTTTCTGGGTAGTGACTTCCCCTTTTGCGGGGGGCAATTGACTCGTTTCTTTGATCGACACTTTTGCCTGACGCCGAAGGGCCGTCGAAGTGGGGATGAACTTTGATTGGGGAAGGCCCTCCAAAATGGTTGCTGCACACACAATCCCAGTATAATATATGTATACATATACATATATACATATACATATGTACATGTATATATATATATAAACAATTCCTCTGTATTTGATTTCCATCACAGGGTGCCCAATTAAAAGTCATACCCAAGTGATGACCCCGTGCCTGTACAAAACAGCCTAGCTCGCTTTCAGCTGCCGGCGCCCGGCGCTCCGAAAAGATGTCTCAGCCGATCTTGGCAGCAGACCCAAAGTTGTTGGTTTTTTGCTTGCCAGCTTGCTTTCTTGCTTTATTGCTTTCTTGCATTTTTGCTTTCTTGCTTTCTTTCTTTCCTTCTTTCCCGCCTTCCTTCCTTCCTTCCTTCCTTCCTTCCTTCCTTCCTTCCTTCCTTCCTTCCTTCCTTCCTTCCTTCCTTCCTTCCTTCCTTAATTTCGTGAATTACTGGTTTGCTGGTTCGCTCGCTCTTTCCAGTGTGTGTTAGAGAATGTCACGCTAATTCTCTCACAAGTAGCTGCACTTGAGTTTGCCATCGTGGGCCGTTCGGAGTGTGATGTGAGTCAGCACTAAGCGCCATACTTACCCGTCATGGCCATTTACCTACACCAGTGGCAGCAACTCTGCCTTGTAGATGGAGTGCAACACCTTACTTCTGCGATTGCCAGCATGTCGGACCGCCTGCCATCGGTGAAAAGTTGGAAACCGACGGGTAAATTCCACACCAGAGGAGGTGAGGTTTATCATGGATTGTCTTGAACATTGCAGACTTCGGGTCAGACTGGTTCGTCAGGCTGCAATGTGCTTGCATCATCGAAATCGAAGCCAGCGGGTGGCCTTTGCGCCCCGAGTGGCGTCCTTGGCGCTCCTCTGGCTGACGTGGACATGGCCGTGCGCTGAGACTGCGCTGATGTGGCTCTGCTGGAGCTATGTGCCCAAACACCGCCACGGTTGCGCCCGTCACGGGAGAAGATGAGTACTTTCCCGTGCGGAAGGTTCAATCGGCCAATCGCTTGGTGGCAGGTCAACTCGAGCCATCGCACCGGCTCCTTCTTCCGAGGTGTCGCACCGTAGAAGAAAGAACCGGTGCGATTGGCAGGTTGACTTAAGTTGGAGCGAAGATCAGGATGATTCGTTGTTCAACTTGGACCTCGGCAATGTCCTTACGAGTCCTTTTTGTAATTTTGCTGCCTGTTTCGTCCTGTGGGACGAGGCAGGTGAGTTTTGTGGAGCTGTCAGCTTCAGGATGCTTCAGGCGTTCCCAATGTGCAGGTGCTTTGAGCATTCCATCAAACTTGCTGGTGCGATAGGCAGGGAATCAGAAACAGAAGAGAAACGGAATGACCCCTATAAACCATCCATTTCCCAGGTCATTACCTCATTCCCTGCCTATCGCACCAGCAAAGTCTCACTCACAGCTTTCCATGCCACAAAGCTCGAGCCTGCCAGGGCGCCAAGGCTTGAGATCGGAAAACTGGGAGCGTGGGATTCAGTGGCATTTCCCTTCAAGGGGTGGCTTTTAACTTGGTGCGACAGGCAGGGAATGAGAAATGGAATGACCCTTTTCAAGCATCCAACTGGTTTCCTTTAAGGGGCCCCTTCTGTTCGTTCCATTTCTCATTCCCTGCCTATCGCACCGATCACGGAAGGTTTTCCTCCCATCGCCTTGCCGGAAGTGCCTCGCAGGAGATCGAGGTGATGATCAAGGCGGCTGACCAGGGCAAGGACTACCTCACCGCGGAGGACCGGGCCACTTCTCTTTTTTTGTTTTGCCGGAGACGCATAAAAAGCCTCAGACGGCCACCGTGTTTTGCATGTCGTTTTAGGGAGCATTTCATGACTTACATCTAGATTTGCATGTGTACAGGGCATGCCCCAGCCTCTTTTTGCTCCGCTTCTTTTCTTGGATCTTCGCTGGTTGTTTGGAATCACAAGAGCTGTTGAACGCCTCTCGAGAGAGTTCCCCGGTGTTTGAATCTTGAGAGACTCGGATGCCCATGCAACTGGGCTCGCTGCCTGCTTTTTGTTCATGGCCGGATTGGACAGCAAACGGTTCTGTTTCTTGGGTGAGGGTGTGGGGTATAAGAGCTCAATTCCCTCAATAGACTGCGTCTTAGGAGCGGGGGCTCGCTGCTCAGTTGCTTGCCTCGGGAAGAAAGTGAAGTACATGGCGGGAGCCCGCTCTGCGCCTCAACATGGCTCAACACTGGGATGGGCAGACTCTTGTTTGGATGTTGCTCAAAAGGAGAGGCCTCCTCACCCAAATGGTTGACGCACATCGATTTGGGCACGAACTTCGTTGGAACATCCTCATGGTGGTCAAAACAAATGGACACGTTACCTAGCAAAGGGTCCCCCAAACAAGAGCACTCTTGTGGTTAGTTAACGTGTCCATTGCAGATGTTCGCTGGCCGAGAACTTCTCGTTGTCTTCCCTCCCCTCCTCCCCCTTGCCGGAGCAGTCCCTCCTTCCCGGCGCCCCCTTTGGCCGGAGCGGTTCCACAGGACTTCTACGTGATGATGGCGGATGAAGCCAAGCGGGTGCGAAACCCCCGGAGGTGGAGGTCAGGCAGACAACCGGGATGCTTAGATGCAACTGACAGAATTTCGGCATGGGGACACCCCTATTACGAAATATCCCACGTCATCTGCGGGAAACACTTGGTTTCGTCCAGAGCTCAGATGGATCTGTTGCTGGCTTCTTTGGACCCCAACAACTAAGAGGAGGCCAGTCCCAAATCCTATCGTTAGGAAGCTCAGGCTACCAGGCAACGAGCCCAAGAAGGAGAGCAGAAAGAGGACGCGTAAATGTTGAAGCATGCTTGGATAGGTGAGCCATGACCAACCTGCAGCGAGTGAAGGTGGCAGGAGAGTCCCAACTCCAACTGGAAACGCAAGCGACTGCTAGTTTGATTTGTGATTTTGCATGGCTTTGGGTAGACCCCTTGAATTCATCGGGTTTTGTTCGTCAGATGGAGAAGTGTTTGGTCGATGTGCCGCTTCAGACAGGCTTTCGGACACCTTGACGCATGCCAGGTTCGGTCAAAATGTCAGCAGCACATCCCACTTGCCCAAAGCGAATTGACCTTTTGACATTTTTGGGTTCTCCAATCTTGGTCCATTTTTGGTCATGGCTCCAAAAGGCTAACCTTGTGTTTCTGGGTCCTTTGGGCAACTGAGATATGGAGCATAGGGGGACAAGCCCGAAACTCCAACAAAACTCAGGGACTGCCATCTCAGCTTTGTAGGCGTCGGTGCCGCAAAGAGGTCATAGCAGACCGCTCTATCCTCCAGTTACATTGGAATGGGCTCATGGACGCAACACATTCGTGTGGAAGGGTTGAATTACAGAGAATAGGATCGGGAAGTTGACATTTGCCACGGACGGAAGGCTTCAACTTAGAGATCCTAAACCCACCCCTGACCTTTGCCTTGCTTCGGATCCCGCTTCGGACCATCCGGCTTCCGCTAGGCGGTTTTGCCCGAGATGCAGCGATGACCATGAGCCTTGCCGGGCCTAACGCAATGCTTTCAGACGGCGGAAGAAACGAAGAACCGCACGCCTCAACACCTCCGAGCGCCGAAACCTTCCGGAACAACTTGCGCGGAGCAGCTTGGTTTGCATGGACGAAGTCCCCTGACACCGTGCGGGCAACAACGATTCTGCTTCCACCTCCCCACAGCTTCCAGCACCCAGTGGTAGACACAGAGACAAATCCAGCAGCCTCCAGCATCGCTCATGGCTCTTCGCCGCCTCGGCAAGCGGGCGGCGCGTGCCTGGGCAGTGGTTGGGAGAGTTTGGGGGTGTGGTCTTCAGGCAGGTTCGGGGGTTTGTAGGCCATTCCAAAAGGTCTTTGTTTTCCCAAGCTGGCGCTGACCCCTACAAACGAGGGCTTCATCTCGTTTTCTGTCCTGGTTGGCGACTCATTTGGGGAGTCGGAGACTCGCTTCGCGCGTCCCGGACGTTTGCAAGGCAGACCCAAATCGCCAGCGGAAAGCAAAAATCAATCAACGCACGGTCATGAGCGTTAAACATTGCGTGAAACTCAAAAGCAAGGAAAAGTGTGCCCAGCTTTGCAAGTGAAGGTCAGTATCCCATCCAATGACCTCCTTTGCTTTCGGGGAGGGCGCGCAGGGCCACCTAAATTTCCATCAACATCTACCCAGTTTTACCATCCCCTGTAGGGGAAAACACACATTTTCCCGTGGCGTACATGATCTCGTACAGGATGTCGGACCCGACGTTAGGCCGAGCAAGGCACTCCACTTGCAAACAAGTATGGAAGTGGCGATAGTCTTCCAACAGAGGTCTTCACGCTTCCGCATTTTTGGTGGGTGCCCTTGCCAAAACTTGGACCGTGCCCAGAATTCGGAGGCTGGATGGGCTAAACTGCTTGCACAGCCAGGCCAATGAACTGGGTACATCTCATATCAACCAGCCTCTTCATCTGGGAATTGCTTCGACATTTGCATGTCATCTGGAAGTTGTAAAGGATTGAGCAGCATATATTGTGCATGTGTATATATATACATGTATATAGACATAAATATATATATATATATGTATATATATATATATATATATATATATATGTCTGGCGGTTTTTCGATTGACTGCGCCAAATCCTGAGACATCAGAAAGACGACCTTTGTCGAACTTGGCACAGTGCATTTGGGGAGCTCCATCGGTGTCAGCCCAGCGGGCAGGCACTCGCTTTATGCTCCTGGATTCAAACCCGAAACTACTTGTACCAGAAGGTGCTCCCTCAAAACGAGTTTCCTCAACTCACTTTTTATGGACGGTTTTAGTGGTAAGTAAAAAGTTCAGACTTGGCCAGTCCACTCAGGAAGTGAGTCAACCAAGGGCTCACCAAAGGTTGCCCTCGGTCGCCCTCGGTCGCGTCGCGCGCAACGAGGCGTGGCGGCTGGGGCGGGCTGCATCGGGGCTGCCGGAGGCAGAGCTCGAACTGAGCCGGCGGGATTTCTGAGTTCCCTTCAGTTTGCTTCGTAAAGGGAACCGCAATTTGACAGGGAAAACCCGAAATTGTCTGTCAAACTTTGGAAAACATCAATCTTATAAACTGGGAACCTCCCCAGTTTGACAAGTGCTCAGAAGGGAATGCGGGAATGAACTTGGGGATTCCCTGAAAGGAAACCACCAGTTGGATGTGTTTATAGGGGTCATTTCATTCCTCATTCCCTGAGCACCAGCAAGAAAAGGGAAGCCAATCTTAGAGGGGTCTCCCCATTTTGACACGTGTTCAAGCTTAGGATCCCGAGGTCAGTTAGTTACCCTGTCAGCCTCCTTCACGTGCAAACAAAAGGAGACCAGCTCCTTTCAATGCTCACTTCGGAGGACCGCACCAATCAGGGCTGGGTCCCCTTTTCGTGAGCCACGATCTATTGTAGGGGATTCCTCTGAGAAGCAGGGTCCTCTGGATTATCCCGAAGTCAACCTTAATTACCCATGAGGAAGGTTCCGCACTTGAGTTACCGTGTGTAGTTTGGTCGACATTTCTGATTTGTCTATGGCCCATTTGGGGTTCGGGACAATCGGGGGAACGTGCCCTAAATTTTAACCACACAAACTAGCGGACGAAACCACACATTTACCCATGTCCTCTAAAAGGAACAGGTCATTTTGACCGTGCCTCATGTCAGTTCTCCTCCCTCACGGACCGGGGGTAATCAGAGCCATTCCACCCATGAGGGTTCCTCACGTGGGAAGTCATATCTTCAGATATGTGACGCAGCCATTGAAGTGCGCGCACCTCTTCTGGAAGACTACCTTCCTTTTGGAAGGTGGGGCTGTGCGCTTCCATGTTCACCCTGGAGCCTCCTGTAGGAGGCTTCCAAAAGGAGGCTGCATAAGCAAATGTGGTTTCATGCAGAACCCTTTGGGTACAAGTTTGGGAGGGAATCAGATAATCAAGACCCGCAGCAGTGGAGGTGTCATCTTGTACCAGACCGACCCTAGCTTTCAGCGCTCCGTCCGCTTCTGGCAGCTGACCGGCCCCATTGTCGCGTCCTGAGCGACCCGAAGGTCAGTGACCCTGGACCCGTGGGTAAATCAATGGACGCTTCCCCTGCTCCCTTTGTTTCTTGGGGGGTGGGGTCACCTCTCGCAGATCGCACGTCGAGGTTGTGTGATTTGCTCGAGCTGGCGAAGCAACATAGCCATCGGTCTGTTCAAATTCCGCAACCGCCTTAGGGATTGATGCGGAATGTTGGGGAGATGGGTTCAGATTGGTTGATCAGACCTGATCAATCTGTGCCGAATGGCCCGAGAACAGAAGCCAATATGGATGGTTTATGCTGGAGCAACAGGGCGGCATTGCTGTTTCTGTCGGCAAATGCACAGCCGGCTTTGAAAGCAAAGTTACTTGTCACCTGTGTGGGGAACCAGTCTGTGCCAAGCATAGACAGCAGCCAAACTCACCCCTGTTGAATTTTGCTGGTGCCCTGTGCGAGCCAGGGTGTCCATAAATTGGTGACCCCTTTCGCTTGGATGGAGAAGCCAGCCATTTTTGTGGGTCTCCGATTCTGACGCACGCACACACACACACACCCTACCTACCCATCTACCCACCCACCCACCCACCCGCCCGCCCGCCCACCCACCCACCCACCCACCCACCCAGGGTGGGTGCCAGCTTCCGAGGTGGCGCATTACCTGGTGGAGCGCTGGCGTGCCGCGGACGACGCGGACCGCGATGCCCGGTACAAGCGCCTCCACGCCATGTACGCGGGGCGAGCGCGCCAGGTGGTGGAGGAGTGGGAAGGAAGCCATACGAAATGGGCGTGTGATTCTTCGCTAGGTCCCCCAGTAGGCCTTTTGCCAACTTTTTCGGGGAAGGGTTCCCCTACTAAAATAGACTACAGAAAAAGGGGGTACCCTTATTCTAACCTCTCTACTGGAGGACCTAGTTTGAGGGTCTGCGCTTTTTAGCTTGTTTTCGAGCCTACAAAGAAAGTCACCATTCTTTTGGTTCATGGGGTGCTGGCCAGGGCTTGGGGCAAGGCTTTAAACAGATCAACCAGGCCCTGGGCCCGTTTATTGAATTTGCACGGGGTGAAAGCTGGGGGATTCTACTTGGAGGGGATTGGACTGGAATAGGCTGGCGGTGTCTTTACCTAGGGGACCCACCAAACTGGTGGTTCTCCTTTGGTTTCCCTGTAAAACCACCAAACAAAAAGGTACCCTCAAAATTGGCGGACCCATATCTGGTATGTTCAGCTGTGCCACGAGTTCTCGAAACTTCCATTGGACCCGGGACTTGCTGGACCCGCACCAGTTCACCTCGGCCCGGAAGGTCTTGTAGCACCTTCCAAGGGGAGAATGGGAGCTGAAGCGAGACTTGAGTGACAAGTGAACCAGCGATGTGTGCCATGGTCAAAGGCGTGGTTGGTGTAGGTCGGTTATGGAGCTTTTGGGGACTAGAGACTCATTGTAAGGTTTCTTCCCAAGAGATCCAGGAGGATGTTGGCAGGAACTTGGACCATATCGCACTTCCTGCCCAATTGTCATCTATCAGGGCGGGCCCTACGGGCCCTACGCTTAGCTGGGCTTTTCCAAAACTGCCCCAATCCTGCTTGAGGTCCGTGAGATTTGGCAACCCAAGCAGGTCCTTGCCTCACGCACGCCAGGAGCTTCGAGGGATGTTCGTCAAGGTGTCCCTCTCAGAGTGCCTGTGGTCAGGGACTGACAGAAGAGCCCACCTGGGGCTAAAACGAGCTCACCTAGGACGATGGTCACTGATGAGAGATCCCTGAATTCGGGTTGATGAAGTACAGAAATCCGTGACGGTATACCTCTTCCGTTGCCAAGAGGCGGGTGTTTTGCAGAAGAGGCAATTGATCCTGCCCAGTAGGATGTTTTATTGCTCTCAGGGATTCTGTGATCTGTGTTTTGCCTAAGGCACCCTTTGCGTACAGCTTCCCTTTAAACCAATGGCTACGCGACTATAAAAGCCGTTCGCAAAGACATTTTTCTTTTTGAGAAGTACCCTTTTCAGGGATTTACAGGGACAATCACGGGATATTCCCAATTTTAGGGGGGATTTGGGGGGTCAGGTTTCCATTGCGAGGGCCAATGCACGCGAGGTGGCTCAAGTTCTAAGCGTGCGGCCGGAGGCCGGACGGTCTTCAAGCTGACCCCTCTGAAGCATTTCTTGCTGGTGCGATAGGAATGAGCCGGCTTCACCATCGGAAGGACACGGGAAATGGGTATCGGCATGGGTCAAAATCCAGCCACTAGGGGAACACTGGGTTTCTTGCTCAGTAGGGAATGAGGGAATGCCCGCTATAAACCATGCCCGATTTGGTTTCCTTTAAGGGAATAGGTTCATTCCCTCATTCTCTGTTTATCGCACCAGCAAGATATTCCCCAGCCCGGGTGGGTGAGAAAGTGGTGTCCGCCCGCTTTGCGTGGAAATTCAGGGTGGCCTCCGCGCTGGGTGGGCTCTGGGTGGTTCTCAGGGACTCAGGTGGTTTGATTGGACCACGCCATTCTTGCTTGCTCTTTGTGTATGTGAGAAAAAGGGCTCCGGCAAGAAAGCGTTTGCAAGTTCCCGATGTAAGCCTCAAGGCCACATTTGGTTTTCGGCCCTTCACGGTTTTAGAAGAAACATGCTTTCCCCAGATGTTTGCTCTTCTGTATTGCAAATAAGTTTACTCCTATCCATTTTGGCTTCTAGATGGGTATATGTCAAAGGTGGGCACAACAACATGGTTGTTGTTGGAAACATTTTACATTTTGCTTATTGTGGTTTAGTGGGAAATCCCCACTTGACTGCTAAAGTTTAAATTTTTGCTCCCCTTCCAACGTCAACCAAGGCAAGGGCTGGTTCTCCTTTGCTTTCCCCTACACCCAAAGCTGCAGATATATGCATGAGCAGGGTTCCACTTTTTGACTACCCCAAGATGGACTTAAACCCAGTTCTCCTTTTGGAGCACATGAGCCACTGGGTTTAAGTTTACCTTCGTCAAAAAGTGGAGCCCTGTGCATGAGCGTCTTTCCACGGGAATGAATCAGCACGCCGCCCCAACGTGGCACCACCCACCAACTCTCCGCCCGAAACGGAGGCAGTGCCCGAGGAGTACCGCGCGGAGTTCCGGAAGCCCGGGGCCCAGGGCCGACTCGGGGCCCATGGCTTGCAAGGCAAGCGCCTCCCAAAGGCGCAGATGGCTGTGGTGGTCGTTAGACCGTTTTGGGATCCCGTTAGAGGTGGGTAGGCGAATTCACCACCCATTTTAGAACCTAGTGGGGAGTGGGGATTGGGATGCTCACTGGAGGTACGATTTGGATTTTGACCCATGGGCATAGGGGTTCTTGGCCGCAGAATCGATTCCTGTGTTCACAGGGGCTTCCCTCGGTGAATCAAACGAATCGTTTGGTTGTACATTTGATGAACCACACAGATGAGCATTTGGCTGTACATGCATGCCCCTTGTGAAGCCAAGGGCAAACTACACCATTGAGAAGGGGGAACTACGGGGATCTCCATTTGTGAAACAATTGTGAAGCCAACATTGGCGAATCACTATATGATAACATTTGGTTACCATGGATCCTGCCGTGTGACATCCCCCTTTGCGAAGCCAAAAACCATCAAAACCCGGGCAATCCCAACCAGAAATAAGTACGGATATCCGACTAGTTCTCATGGTTTTACGTTTTGGGTAGGCTATTCTTAAATACTAGGTTTTGACTACCATATGGCTTATGCCATTTTTCTTGGTAGACATACTGCGGCCACTTTGAAACCATGGGAAACCATAATCTATCGGTATTTCCGTTGGGGAAATCCTCACTCCAGGGTTTCTTCGGTGGTGTGAAATTGACTTCGCAACCATCCACGGTATGGGCATAAGTCTTGATTAAGGAAAAGTCACTTGTGGGCATCATTTACATGGGGATGCCCAGCAATGCATGGCCTTACTTCAGGTTTCCATCGGCTCAGGTTGCAGGACCAGGCGCCGCCGGCGAGGTGGGAGCCCATCCGCCCGAGTGGCCCAAAGCGAGCGGTGGGGGGGGGGGGGCTTTTTCCGCGGTGTATGCGAGGCGATCGGGGCCGAAGGCTTTCCGTTGGTTGCCCCAACATTTGGTTTTTCCAGATTCGGATCACCTTCGAATGGATTTGCCGTTTGAGTTCCATTTGCAGTTTGCATTTGGTTTCCCTTAAGAACCCACAAACAACATTGCCCCAGTCTTACAAAGATGCCCTGGCACTGGCTAGCTTTCCCTCCTGTGGTTTCAAGCCTCCTTCGTGTGTCGAATCGAAGCTTGCCTGAGGGGGGGGAAGAACCTGCCGGGCTTGCAGCTTTGAAAGGCTCAGGCGATGGTGTTTTTTTCTTTTGCCTATTTTTACGGCGCTCACAGATTCGAGGGCAATACGAGTGAAGATGTAGGCCCTTTACATGAAGAGGCCCTTTCTTCGTTTCAAATTCGGGTTGTATTGTACAAATTGCCTGTTCCCAGGTTCATGGTAACACGTCGAAGCTTGAATGGATGTTAGTTTGACCCAACTCGCCTTGTAACCTTTCGGAGAATGACCGTTTGATTGTTTTGTGAGGGTCGACCACCGGCACTGGCTTGAATTTCCAAGAAACCATCTCAGTCTTTGTTCAAGCTTCGTTTGCCTATCTGACAATTGTGAGACCTCTCAGAGCCAGCCACAGCGTGATCTAACACGCAGAGATGCTCTTCGGTCGAGTTCCATGTTACTTGTGGTGACTTGTCCCAAGGCGCGTTGAAAAGTTGCGGGTCCTCATGCTACACCCAAGCCGAAACGGCCCGGGTGCCACGGTGCCACGCTAAGCTTGTTTGGAATCAGCTTCCATGTCATTCTGGGAGTAGATGTCATGGCGCGTGCAAGAATCGTAGGTCGAAAGCAAGCTGCCAATGTCAACCAACCCGCACCAGGTAAAACCAATCCAAACTGGGCATGGTTGTGGGATTGGGTTTTGGCACTGCCTTTTTGTGATACCAAGAAGAATCGATGGAAAGTGATGATGTACTCATGGGAATTGGTATCACTGGTTTCGTGTACTTCTCCAGCTCCAGTACCAAAGAACCTCCCCCTTTCATTCAATAAGATGTCGTTGGGAAGGTCGCTCTTATCTTAAAAGGCACTTCCAAGCCTCGCACAACCACTCTAAAATGTTATGGAACCCTTCAAATTTTGGGCCAATGGGACACCATCTTAGATGTGCTCCAACATGTGACTCAGGCCACGTTCTGGAGAGGGACCTGGGCGCGCCTGTGCGAGAGGTGGGAAATGGCAAGCGCTGTTGAACAAGGGTTTTGAGGCTACCATTTTTGAGGGGAACCTAAGGGACAGCAAGCATTTTGAGGTTCAAGTCCCGTTTTTTTTTTTTCATTGACAGATTTCCATGCAACCCCAAAATGGGTGGTTGCCCCTATGGTCAGCTTCTTTCGTTTTCACAACCTCCCAAAATAGGGGGCCCCCCCATCGAAAGAAATGTAGGGCCTGCTCTCAACATATCAGGAAGGAAGCTTTCTACGTAGGGGTCGAGAGCAAAGAGGGGCTATTGGTATGGGTTCCTAACCTCGGACGTGTTCACTGTGTACTTGGAATGTCAAGAGTATAAGCTGAACGGAAAGTACGGGCCCGTAGCGATGGGTTTGGGGTCAATCACCAAACTTGGAGACTCCCATGTTGGGAGCCACTCTTTGGTGAATATCGTTTTGGTGCTGTGACCGGATGCGGGCCATTTCAATTTTGGAGATGCCTGTGAAAAGGGTTTCAGAGAGAATTCTAGGAGCAGCCCCCATAAAATTGGGGTGGTTCCCCCCAACCCCATTTTAAGACAAACAAGCCCATGTCGTAAAGGACCGCAACTTGGAAGACGGCGAGCACCACGGAGACCCCTGATTTTCCAAATGGGTTATTTCTTTGATTCATATGGGTGCCCGAAATGGTGTGTGTGTGTGTGGTGTGTGTGGGACCCCCTTGTTTCTTTTGCAAAGAGGAACCAAAAGGAAACTAACTAGGTTAGGATCCCCTTTAGAGACCAGCCCAACTATTGCAACCATGGAAGAAGAGAAACCCTGCGGCTTACCATGGCCTGTGGTTGGTTTGACTTGCGACTTTTTGGGAAATCCGGGATGCGGGATGCGGGGTGGGGGGGGGGGAGGATTTGCGCAAGGCCATGGCTTTCCTTCGTCCTAGGTGTTGGGGCGAGGCAGAGGACCCTTGCCATTGGAGGTCTATCCCAATTGTTTTCGGCAGCTTGCGTTCCAAACATCAGACACCAGGTTTGCAGTCCATCGCAATATTTTTATAAAACTGCAGCATCCCGAAAGTTTGAATCCAACATTAAAAAAAAAGAAAGAAAAAAACCAAGCATTCCGAAAATGCCTTGGACACCTTGTCTTGAGAGCTCAGCTTGGAGCGAGGGATACGCCCGGCGTCTTGGCTCAAAGACAGCAGGGCCCTCCCTGCGTCTTCCCGGAGCCGGCGCTCGGCGCGCGCCGGAGCCATCTGGCGTCGGGCGGCCGACAGATTGGTAGGAGAATTCCAGTTTTGCGGTGCGGGCCAGTGAGTGAAACAAGAGCCATGCGATTCCAGAGTGCCTCAGCTTTTTTTTGTTTTATCTCTCGGTTCCCATGCTATGAAACTCACGCCCTGCGGACCATCCGACGTTTTCCAAAGTTCTTTGTCCCAGCCAGTCACAGACCAAGGGTCGCCTGTATTTTATCCAGTGGCACTGCGGCCGGTTGTGGGCCTGTTGTTTCAAGGCGAGCGGTGAATTGGGCCGAGAGAGGGAGGGAGGCCTCTTTGGGAGTGAGTGAAAGCATTTCTCGGACACCAAGGGCGGAACTGTGCCTTTGGAGTGGGATCCCTTGGCGGGGGCATGGTCAAAGCTCATTGGTTTCCTTCTGTTTTTGTCTTTCCAGATGTCCAGAGGGTTGATCAAAAGGTCCTCTACATGGTATGACCATTTGGGAACCCTAAAACAAGATGCTACTTCCCACTATTTCCCACTGGCAAAGCAGTTACCCATCATTTGGCCAGATGTTTTTTCGTCGTTTTTGGATGGGGCGTCCCTTTGAAGTCAGGAAGGCTTTTTGTGTCCCCGGCGCGCAAACAACTAGAAAAGCCACTGGCTGGGGACGTTGGACCAGCTTCTTCGTAAGTGCTTTGGCAGCTTTTCTAAACAGAAGGTTGAAATGAGAAGACCGGTCCACATCCGGAAAGCGCTGTCAAAGTAATACAGATCGTTTAAAAAGGAGCTTCAAAAGGGAAAGTCCAGCGGCCCAGATTTGGATTGGAGAGCTTCGAAATTGAAAGTTCGACCATTCCCAGCTGGCGCTAAAATGCAGGAAGACATGCTTTGCTTCTTAGTCCCTTGAAACATTGAGCTTCAAAACCAAGTTCAACAGGGAGCTCTTGGACATCTAAACCGATAGAGCCAAAAGTGTATACTGTTGGTTTTTTGACCCCCTTTTTACGGGGCAGCCCAATTGGTAGGATAATGCCCGACAACAAAGATCTGAAAGCAACGTATTGCAACGTGAAGCATCTGAAACCAACACATTACAGACATCGTGATTCAAGACAAACAACTCCGAAGGCAACATTGAAGCACAAATGCTTGGGGACACGTTCAACTTTCAAGCTGATTATCGTTTGCACGGGGCTTGTTTTTTTGTTTGTGCGGTTGGCCTTGAAGTTTGTCGTTTCTCTTGCTTTCTTTGAGTGTTTCACGGGTGGTTGGCAAGAAGGTTCTCTGCGCATCTGGCAGAAATGACACTGCGAGAATAAGTTGTTTACTACATGACCCAACCCTGCAACACTGTAGCAGCAATGTGAAATAACAAAAAGAAACATCGCTGGGGACACTGCTTCCTGAAGATCTACTGCAAATATAGGTGCGGTTGTCACCATGGCCACTGGAGGTCTCGGTCTTGGAAACGACGCCAACAGGGTGCTCTCAGGAGACAGCAAACACACACACACACACCCACAGCCACACCCACACCCACGCCCACGCCACACCCACACGCACACGCACACGCACACGCACAGGCACACGCAGACGCAGACGCAGACGCAGACGCAGACGCACGCACACGCACACGCACACGCACACGCACACGCACACGCACACGCACCCGCACCCGCACCCGCACCCGCACGCGCACGCGCACGCGCACGCACACGCGCACGCGCACGCGCGCACGCGCACACGCTCGCGCACGCGCTCGCGCACGCACACGCACACGCACACGCACCTGCACCCGCGCCCGCCCGCGCCCGCGCCCGCGCCCCCGCGCCCGCGCCCGCGCCCGCGCCTGCGCCCGCCCCCGCACCCGAACCCGCACCCGAACCCGCACCCACACACAGACACACTTAACCATACGCTGGAATTCCTCAGAAAATGAGGACTAGTCCCAACTAGAACCTCAGGCTCTCTTGTATTTGACTCGACCTGGACAAAGCTGCAGATCAATATTTGTCTGACAAGTTGCAATGACTTGGGACGCAATCCACAGTCTCTGCCTCTGAGCTGCCAATTCCAGCAGGATTTGTCGTCATGTCTCAACCGAATACTTGCAGGTAGGGTCCGAGTCGGGTTGGTTCAACAAAAGCGGGTACACCAGCCACATGGTGTTTTGTTGCCGGAATGCGGCGACCAGCTTCGTGTCCAAGTCCTTTGGCTCTGGCAACCAAACAAAGACCCGGGGACCACCCCACACCCCACACCCCGCCCCGCCCGACCCCCACCCCACCCCACCCCAAGGCCCGAAGTCCAGCTTTCAGCCTCGCTTCGATTCAGGATGGAAAACTTCCGCTTCGACTGGAAGGGGAGCTTGGCGCCAGAGCGGCGAGAGGGTGGGGGGCCTTAGGGCACCGGACGAGGCTTGGGTACAGACTGGAGCGCTTTTTCCCTCCTTTTTCTCGGGCGGGTTTTCCCAAATTTGGCTCAAAGTCAAGCAGGAGGGGTTGCGCAGGTTTTGGTCCATGTTTCCACTTACCAGGGTTTCATTTTGGTACCGTTTCTTTTTTGAGCCACAGCCAAATGCAGACACATCAGGTTCGTTTCCTACAACCCGGGCCCCCCCATCTCCAGGATCAGCTCTGATCCGCCCCCCCGAGTTGTGCCCGAAGTGAGCAGTGTCCAGGGCCAAAGGATGCCTAACGGGATCTCCGGATATCACATACACGTGTACAATAATGTTGACTCCAGATGAATAAACCTGTTAATATGGAGCTGTCCCTAGGGGAAGAAGGGGATTTAGCTCTTTTGGAGGGGAACACCCCCCCGTATGAATAGCAGCCATTTTCTGCAATTCACTTCTAGCAATGAATCAACAAACCGAAGAAGCAAAACAACAAGCACACCAAAAAAAGACGCAAGAACACTCAACACCCCCAATTTGTTTTTTGGCCATGTTCGATGCGAGGCGCGGTGGAGATCGGGTGCGTGGATTGGAAGGCGAGTTTGATCCCCGTGCAGGCCGTTGAGGCCGGGGTGTCGGCTTCGGATCGATGGATGTAGAGATGAGACACAGGATTTTCATCAAAGGGGGCTGGGGGAGGGAGGGCAGCGGGAGGGAGCCCAACTATGCCTTGATTACGCCCTGAACAAGCCCTTCTTTAGGTCTTAGTTGGGATCCCTCCCCCTGCCCTCCCTCAGCCCCCATGAAAGAATGCTCAAAGGACCCGAAGACCGGGAGGTGGCTTGTCATGGAATTCCATGGGCGTGTTCGCTTTTAAACCGGAATGGGGGAGTTGAACACCAGTCCCTTTTTTCCTATGGGGGGGGGGAACGTTGGGGTGCACCTGTGGATGGGAGAAATTGGTTGAGATGGAGAAAACCCAAAACATATGGGGATACACCACCTTTCGACTGGTGCATAATTTTGTCAGGGCTAGTCATTTCAGACGATTCCTGTTAAGGGAAAGCCATGGTTATCGCTCCCCTCCCCCCCCCCCCCCCGCCAACCCCCAGGCTTGTCGGTGGCCCAGTTGCAAAAGTTGTTCTGGTGAGTTGCGGCTTCATGTCATCCCCTTTTTCAAGGCAGGTGATGATCTACATTGGCTGTTGCTGACATGATCCCCATTCTGGAGGAACGGCATGAGACACATCACGCACTTGACGCGAAGCGTAGTGATTGAATCAATTAGCACTGGGGAAGGCAGGCATCGATTGGGGACGATGCGGGACGGATGCTTCCCCCCTGCCTTGTTTGTGCTTCCCACTTCCCCCTGCCTTCCTCCGATCCTTGCCCCGGTTTTCCCTCGCGTTTTGGGCATGCCGATGTTTGACATCAGGTTCGGAGCCGGCGTTGGGCAGGTTCGGAACACATTCGTTCACTTCGAAGAGGAAGAGCCGCCGCCTCGGAAAAAAAATGACCGAGACCGGGGCCGGAAGGGAGGGGCTACTGCTTGTAAGTCACCGCGTCAGATTGGATTTGGTGAGCCCAGGATTCGCAATGCCAGCCAAAGTCGCAGAACCTCGTCCTCGCCTCCAGATCTCAGGAGAGAGGTTTCGGGCTTGAGCGCAATTGGGTGCATCGTTTGGGATCTCAGGAAGCTCTTTTGCATGTTGTGCTTAAGGAAATCGAGCGACCCTTGGAGGGAATTGCAAATGAGAGGTACAATTCACCCCAGATAGCAAATGACACAGCATGTTGCTACTCGACGACGGCATGTGACAGGAGGAACTATGGTTTGGATTGGCAAACGCCATTTGCTTCTCAACTGCTAATGCTGCCCTTGCATTTGAGCCACCAGGGATATCAAAGGATCCGCTTTGAAGTGATAGCACCGCCATGTGGATGTCCTACTTTGGTATCACAGAAAGGGGCCCATTTCCCACAATGGCCTTGCATGAACTTCGGCAGCTTTCCAAAGCTCGGTTGGCAGGGCTCGAACTTAACTCTTTGCACGAATGCTTTCAAGGTTGAAGTTCCGCTCTTGCACGCACATTTTCAAGCCAACCAAGAGAGCTGCTAGGGCAAAAGGGACCCCACTCGCACTCACCCACTGGGTTCCCCGATTTGCAGCTTCTTCAGCCCATCCCATGTCAAAGGGACCTGCCTCTCACTTGGCAAACCCTGGAACCTGTGGGTTTCCTTTCAACTCGCTATTCTTTTCTGGGGCCCCGGAGGGACTCCGTCAAGATCTGTACCACAAGGAAAAGCAACGGAGCACTTGCTAGGACCTGGAAAGAGGCACACCTCTCCTTTCTCCGCGGAAATTGATGAGAATTGGTTTCTCAGCCGCCCGGTTCCGATTCGACTTCGCCGAGTTCGGCAGGACCGGAGCAGCCGCACTACGCGAGGCCGAAAAGGGGGGGGGGCAGGGTTCCGCAAAACCCGAGGGGAGTTTTGAACATGACTTCTTGGGCCAATCTTGCGCGAGGTTTGCGTCGGGGTCCAGGGGCAGGGGGGTTTGAGAGGACACTTTGTTTGGCTATTTTCGGCTGAGGGTGCCTTGTGGCCCCTGACCCCTATTTGGAAATTGTCACTGGGGGTTCAGTGTTGGTGTGGTCACGGAAAGTTACACATGGATTCATGTCTTGATGTATGCCATGTCTCGACTAAGGTGTCCGACACTGCTGACCCCTCTCAGAGTTGACCGCAGCTTCCAGACAAAACTTGCACAGCCGTCTCAACATGGGTTGAAATTCTTTCTGGCTAGTGTTTGGTGGGGCGAAAGGAACACATCCCTCCCTTGGTCCCCCCATGTTTGGGAAGACACATATGGGGGTGTCGTTTTTAAGGGACGCCCCCACCCAAACGGTGGGATTCCTTTTGGTTTCCCTTCAAGCCAACCCCAAAAAGGGTACCCTCAAACAATAACACACCGATATGATGTTTTTCACCTGGGGCCCTGAGGGCAGAGCAAGTCAATGAAGTTTCTCAAAAATGGACCCCCTTTCGGCTGTTTTTTAAAGCAATACCTAAAGGAAACCATGAGAACCACCCAAAGAAATATCAGTTGCCGCAGGTTGCCTCACTTTGCTTGTTCCCGTTGACCACCGTTGCCAGCTTCCACGCATGATTTCTCCAAAGGGGAGCTTGAGCAGCGATCACGCGCTCCCGGTTTGATTCGATGGCGGTTTCGGAGGACATCGACAACCAGAAGGAAGCGGCTGCGCGCTTGGCTTCGGCTAGCCTCGAAAGTTTCGGTCAGAGATCTGGCTGTGGGTCACAATTAGGGTAACCCCAAAATGGCTTGCCCTGGCAAATGGAAAAATAGACTAAAACCTGCGGTCCCCTGGGGGTTTAATTTTGACCCATACCCATCTGAACTAGGAGGGGCATCAGAGAACTCACGCGAACAATGTCCAGGCGTAAGTTACCACTTTGAAACCCTGAGAAAACATTGCTTGTTGACATTTACAGGGGAATCATCATTCCTGAGTTTCCTATGTCCTCTTGGGGGATCAATCTAATGTTGACCGTTGCTCATGTGCGAATTGTTTTGGGATCACATTTCCTGCATGGACGAGGCATGGATGCTTGCAATAATTCCTGTCATTAGTTTACACTGGTTCGGATATGAGGTGACCGCAAAGAAGCCAGGGGGACGATCTGTTCAGAGTATCGTTAGCTCACTTGGAAGCTGAAGGTTCCTGGATTGGGCCTTTGGTAAGGTCCGCATGCTGGGAGGGAGCAGCCATCCGCTTGAAAACTGTCGGCACCCTTCCATGCAAAGGCGCTTTGTGGCGCTTTACGCATCCAGTTGGATGCGATTGAAGCCTGAAACGCCCACGAATCGCGGGGGTTCAGCTCGCTGCAAGCTCTTTCTGCTGACCGTATGTGTTTTTTTTGAGGCCCCATTTCAGGTTGGCTTAAGGGAGGAATTTGGGGTTCCGGGGCTCCCCTATTTTGGCACATACCCACGAGGTGGGGACGCAGTCAATGGCATGCGATCTGAGGAAGAAGACACCGGAAACACGTCGCCGGCGGCCTAATTGCGGCCGAGAGCGCAAGCGGGAAGCTGGCCCAAGAGCACTCCGCCTCTTCTTTTTGGCCCTCACCGTTTTGGGGGCAAACCGAGCTCAGCATCATGCCCTTTACTTGTCCACAGATTTTGCAGAAGAGGAGGCTGAATGGTTAGCCTCCCAATGCAAATGGCTCGAGCTGGGTAGGTGATCATGTTTGTTTGACATGGTTCAAACTGGGAGCGGAGAGCTTCTTTCAGGTTTCATGCTTGGTTTTTGGGAGGGGCAAGCTGTCCCTATTTTTCGTTTGCTCTTGGAGCAGGACTGCAGACATTTGACCGGAGCATCAGATATTGGGCGTACAGAGAAGTGTGGGAAGCATGCTGATCCTTCGAGGGTTGCCTTGAACAACCTTCATCTCGGCACCATCCTTTTGGTGTGGATAGATCGTCAGTCTTAAGCCATTGAAAATTTGGCATTTTTTGCATGACCTACCCTCATGCAGTGCAGTAACTTGCACCACGGCGCACTTGAAGTGTGCTTAGTACGGACCAGGGCCCCAGACCTAGGTTCATGCTCTTTTCAGGACCATTTGCTTGAAGCGCTGCTTGAGAATCTGCCACTAGCAGATTTGAGCATGTTTGGACGTTCTCCAATTCGCAGCATATCTGTTCCTTTTCTTTGCCTTTTCCGAACGCTGCCCAACCCGGCCCAGATTCGCGGTACTTGTTAGCGCTCCATTGCAAGTTACACCGAGGAGGGACTTGAGGGGTCCCCTACGCCCCAGAAAAGTTCTTTACATAGCGCTTCTCTTCACATGATTCTTCATTTGTGACTCCAATCCCTGCATTGTGAGGCTCCAGTCACAAACATGTGTGTGTTTATATATATATATATATATATATATGTAGGTATCGGAATATATATATATATATATATATGTATATATATATATGTATATATATATATATATATGTACATATGCTGTTTTTACGTATACATGTATATGTGTATATACGTGTATATGTATATGTATACTTATATATGTATATGTATATATATATATATATATGTGCGGCGCAGGTGCTCCACAGACGCGCCCGAGGGGCCGGCCATGTTTGAGGCATGGCCGGATGCCTCTCAAGGGGTCTCAAGGGTTCCCTTTCCTAAACAAGCCCCAAAAGCGTACCCTACAAACGACAGACCCAAGTGTTGTAAGGGAACAAGGACCCCCCCCCCCCCAATCCACAGTAGTTTGCCATGTTTTTTTTGTAGTTGTGGTCGGTTTACTTTTGCAATATTTAGGGCCTCCGAACCACCCCGTATCACCCCTTTGTCCATCTGACCACCGAAGAACCATCCCGTCAGCTCCCTAACCACACGCTAACTCCCTTGTTTTCTGTAAGTGAGGGCAAGCAAGACATGTTGATTTGCAACCAGCAGAAACAATGTATATCAGGCATCGTTATATTGGAAACGCAACGCTGCAAGGAGATCGGAGATACTCGGCCTTTAAAAGAGCTTCTTGTTTCTTGGTGTTGCTCTTCAGAGAAGATGACTCCAGGACTTTGACTCCCTCAACTTTATTGCTTCGGCCTTAAGGG